TCCCAAGGTTTGGTTTTCGACAAACAAGGAAATCCTCGATGCAACAAGGAGTTCAGAAAATTTTCTCAACAGTCTCATCCAAAAACCTTTCGTCCTTCCATCAGATGTTCCACAAGAAAAATGGGTGGAATCAGTGAGCCAAAAGGGGGGCAAGAGGCCAAAGTGGAAAGTGATTGTACATGAAGCTGAGGCCCAAGAAAATAAAACTGAGTCGAAGGGTTATCAAGTTTCCCCCAGTTATAAAGGAAAAAACCCAATGAAAAGGACTCAGTGGAGGCATTATCAACGGAACAAAAAGGCGGCAAGGGAAACTTCGACATCTTAGGTGAAGCCAGTCGAAGACAACAGCCATGTCGAAGACATGCTACCAGCGGAAGCCACAAAGCCAATAGAGTTTCCAATTCCAAAGGTGTACTATTCCAAGTCGAAGCTAACTAAAAAATAAAAAGCTATAGCAAATTAAAGAATGGCTATGAGGGTGGCTCCTTTAGGAAATACAAAATTAGTGGCAACACAAAATATGGAATATACTCTTGCGCCTGAGTATACTCCCACATCTGAAGGTGAAGATGAGGCATTATCTGACTATGAGCCTTCGCCAGAGGATGACATGGTAGATAACGACTATGATTATGGTGAAGAATTCATCATTAATTTTTTAATTGTGTTGATTCTGCTTGCTGAATACGACAAGGTGTCGGAAGTATCAGAAAATGAAGAAGATTTTACCTCCGACGAAGCGGTTGATGAAAAGCCTCCATGCTACTATGTGATGAATAATGGTGTGGTTGAAGAATAGAAGGTTGTGTTTGAAAAACCAAGCCCAAGGATGCTATATAATCTTAAGCCTCTATTCATAAGGGCGAAGGTGGATGGCATGCCAGTGAACAAAGTATTTATCGATGGCGGGGCAGCTGTAAATTTAATGCCACATGCTCTGTTTAAGAAAATGGGGAAGTGTGGGTCGGAGCTTCGACCTCACAATATGGTTTTATCAAACTATGAAGGAAAGACCAGTATCTTACTGAGTGTCATTCAAGTAGAATTGGTTGTTGGAACAACAACCAGATCAACATTATTTATGGTTATAAATACTAAATCCAACTTTAATTTATTACTTGGTCGTGAATGGATTCATGGAATAGGTGCAGTCCCGTCGAATTTTCACCAAAGAATTTCCATTTGGAGAAAAGATGGAGTAGTAGAAAACATAGAAGCTGATCAGAGCTACTACAAAGTCGATGATGTGAAAGGTGGAAAAAAGTCTTTCAACCAACATTTGGCGAATGTAGCGCCTTGTGTGATGAGAATCGCACTCCCAATGAAAACACAATTTATTTTCTAAGTTTGGATCCTGACCATGACTTCACATGGGATTCTGAAGAAGAAACATGATCTAGGGAGTCGATTCCACCTACGGGTTGGTCAATGGCCGAAGGGGATGACTAGTGAACAAGAAGTTTGATTCAGAATTCAGAATATAGATGAAAGTGTCATAAGCATTTGGCTATGGGAGCAAAAAGATGGCTGTAAAATCCAAAATAAAGCATTAAGGAAGAGGCCAACAAGGCCTACAACAACAGCTTCATAAAGCCGGAGGCAAGATACAAGCCTTTGGGACTTAAAAGCCACTTACCATTAGGTGTAGAAACTGGGTGTAGTTTGATAAAGCATGCTTAGGTGTGTAATTCTTATTTATTAAGCCTAATGGATTTATTTTTTGAACGGATTAATGTTTGTAGTTCATCTTCATATTGGTGTTTTCGCCAACAACTTATGTTTTACAACCAATTAACAATGTTTCATTCGAAGTGATCAATCCTAAAATTAGTGGGGGCATATCATAACTGAGAGTGAGGTTACTGAGATTAATTTAAATTTTGAAACTAATCTAAATTTTGAAACTTTTAGTTTTTCAAGTCTTTCTAAAAAAGTTTTTCCATTAATCATCTTTGGCAGACAAGGAGTTATCAAAAAATTGGCGAAAGCATAATGGGAAAATTAGTTGATCATACAACCAAAATATGAAAAAACTCCAAACAGTTAACCACAAGTTATCCTAAAAAAGATTTACATACTCAAGAGTAAAGAAATCTCAACAAAATATAAAGCACAACTTAAGCAGGAAAGCGAGACTTAAAGTCTTCAAAGCGGGCCCTTTTGAAAAAAATCTTATTGTTGAGGTGGGTTTTCTTCGTCGTCAACTCACGAATCCTGTCTTTAATCTTCAAAGATTTTTTCCATGTTTGATGCCTTTCTGAATCTCTTCATTAATCTTGTTTTGGCTTGAGAGTGTTTCATCCGAATCTAATGAGGTCTTTTTGCTCTCAGCGACAAACAGTTTCTTCTGGAGATTAGATATTTGAGTCTTGTAGGAAGAAATATGCTGATCTAAAGTGGAGTGTTGGTCGGCACGAGCTTGAATTTCAGTTCGACAGCACTTAACTTATCTTCATAAGCTTTATTGAGATTCCACTCAGCTTCCATGTCGGCATTGTTAGCTTGAAGTTAGTTGTTGAGTTGTTTACTCAAGGACACATCACCAATGGCCTGGAAAAAGAATGCCTCAAAGTCGATAAAGTATTGAACCCAAGCCTCAGGGATAATATATTGGGAAATCTTGTCAAAGGGTTTGAAAACGTCATCCACCAAATGACTCTCATCGACAGCGACAGAGAGGGAAATCACCATTGAGCATGTGGATTTCGAAAACCTCAATGTTAATGGATTTGATTTTACTGAGGAGTTAGTTTTTCAAAAATGGGAAACTTTCTTCCTTTGTCTCAAAGGACCAGTTTACCTTAAACTGATAAGGTATCCCCACTACAAGTTTCAGCTAGTGTTATAGGATTGAACGTCTACATTATTGAGAGTCCCATTGTCCAATCTTCAATCTTGATGGAGTAGGTAGAAGATGTTGAAATCTTGATGGAAATGGAAGTAAGAAAAGATTGAAAAACATTGCTGCAGAACATTTTCACACCAAGATGAATTCTAAGTATATCAAGGATATTGATCTACAGTTTAGAACATGGGCTCAGATCATTCGGGGATGTATTCATCACCAACCTCCTACAACTTGCATCAATACTGATGATAAGTACATGTTATGTTATCCAACTTCTGGTGATAAAAGCAATAACTCTACAATACTTTTTAAGTATATAAGGTACAATATTAAAGAATCCAGAAATGACAAGCCTAATATCAAGAAATGGATACCTTTGAGACGTCTTATCTCAAACATTTTGGTTGAAAGCAATTTGGTAGATGGTCTTCAACAACAGAATCTGGATCATAGTCTTGATGCATATCTGGTCACAACCTTTGGAATACCCTTTGTTGGGAGAAGTTTAAAGAATATGTCTTTAATTTTTACTTTTATTGATCCTTCAGAAAGTCGGGAACCAAAAGCAACCTGCTTTATAAAGAATGTAGAAGATCGTCATGTGTTCAACTCGACAGATCCTCTAGAAGCTTTACTATATTATCTGGAACCATGCATAGATCATCATATTACACCAAATGTGACTTATGAGGCTATTGTAAATCTTATTGAAAACTTTCCAGGATATGTTTTTGAAAAAGTTTGTCAAAGTATTTATGCTAATGTCGTTGAACCTGGTTTTGTCGATGACCTCCCAGATGAGCCAGATAAACCACTTGTTAGAGAAGAGAGAAAGTTCTTTAGGAGTCTTGTAGAATGATCCTCTTCTAGACCTTCTGAAAAGATTGCCAAGACTTATTCATTTTCAAGGACTTTGAAGAGTTGGATTTTAGTCCTCTTATTGCAAGTAAGTCTTTTTCTAGTTCTTCTTATTAAAATGATATTATTAATTCATCCATTCCCACATATACATCGTCTACACCCTCACCTTTTCTTGACCCCATCCATGTAACTATTTCATTTGAACTTATTCCTTCTCATTCTTCTACTGCTGACAACCTCTTATCCAGAATCCATCAAACTACTGCTAGAGTAGAATTCTCGATAAACCAATCCTCCAGTGATTCTTTAGATGTAGTTCATGATATCTCATCTGATTCTGAAGAATTTTCCCATATATCTTCTCCACTGTCATACCCCAATTTTGTCCTAGTACTTTAGCTTCATATGTTTTCTTGTGACATTTTATTTCGAATAAATGAAATGATACAATTGGTAAGAGACTATTTGTAAGACTTACAAGCACAATGTGATGAGTTCAAATCCCTCACCTTTCCCACTTTGTGTATTTTCACTTTTATTCAAAAATCACAACAAAAAAATCGATAATTGTATTTTTTTTATCATTTTTAATTATTTTTCGTATTTCTAAATTGATATTTTTTTAAATTTGATTATTTTCACTTCATGCACTTTTTATTCAAAGTATAACCAAAAACTCAAAAAATAAAATTGGTAGTTTTATTCTAACTTTTACAACAAATCAATATTTTTGAATTATTTGATTTGATTCTTCTATTTTTAGTAAGAACCAAAACAAATAAATTCGTTAATTTTTATCTTGTTCGCAATTTTTGATTTTTGATTATTTCTTTCAAAAATTATTAACCTAGTTTATTCATTATAAATAAATCCACTTTTTACGTATTTGAAGAGGCCAATTTCTAACCCAAACACTATCAATTTCACATACTCAAAGGCAATTTTCACACTAATAACAATTTTCCACCTCAATTTACATTTTACGTACATTCACCACCAATTTGCCAAGTACAATTTTTTCCAAATTTTTATCACATGTTTTGTTACAATAACCTTATCTATTTTCATTCACCACATTCACATCCATCAACAAACTACTTTCAATTCCACAAACAGAAAATCAGAACCAAACACTCACCATTTGTAACATTCAAAGTTTGTTTCCAATAACCATTCTCATCAAAACCACACCCCAAGAGCCACCACCAACCTCTCTTGTCGTTGTCGATTGAATTTGCAGAGACAAAGTGCACCACCATGACAACAAGTTTAAGAAACCAACACAAAAATCATGAAAAGCAAAAGCAGTAGAAGAAATAAGAAAGAACAAGAACCGACGACCACTTCGAAACAGCACCGTATACACCCCACGCGGTGTGGTAACTTTGCTTCTTTTTGTCTAATCATTTTTTTCTTGGTGACACGTGGCACTGGGTGATTGGGCATAATGGATTGCAAAGGTCAAAACAAAGTTTGTTTTACTAATTGAAAAATGCAGCTATTCTCTTTCTAGCTTTCCATCTTTTACTACTATTATTATACTTTTTTTTTTGTTTTATAATTACTATGTAATTATCTTATTTAGTAGTTATTGTTTTATTCATTTGATTTAGTCTTATTTGATTTATTTAGTTATCTTAGTTAGTAGATTTAATTTGTTTAATTTTATTTGGGTTTCTTGTATTAATTTTAGTTTAGTGTTTTTTTTAATTAGTTATCATAATTAAAATAACAAAAAGAAAAAATTGTTCACACCTTAAAATCCATCAAACTCACTAAACTCTTTTTTTTTCCTCCGTGCGATAATCAAAACGCCTTTTGCCTTTGTGCGATAATCAATTCACCCATACCCATGTGCGTCTAATTCAAGATCAAACACTTTTTTCATAATCTAAAATCAACCAACAAAATTTATGTGAACTGCGTAGGACTCTGATTTCTCTCATCTCTTGATGAAGATATGTAGCATATGGTCGAGATCAAGACGAGTCAACTAACTACTAACCTGTAATCTTTGTACAATTTTGTTCCCTTATAAATATGAATGAATAAAAGCAAGCAAGAAATAATTAGACAAACAGACCTTAGACAAACACACTTACCTTAAATGTAGAGAAGGTTCTTGTTAAGTACATCGAAGGTGAGGCGTGCCTAACACATTCCCCTCACTTAACCGACTCCTGAATCCAAATTCGGTCGCGATGACTGTTTTATCCTCATCTCTAGGGTTTTCTCATTATTTCCCATCTTCCTTATGATAGAATAAAAGATGGTGGCGACTCTATGACAATTACCATACTAACCCTTCACCAGAAAACCATCCAAACATTATCAGTAACCCTTTTTTTGACACTGTTATGGAATATTTTTTTAACCATCCTTAGTGACTCTTATTCTTTAGAAGACAATGTTCATGTTTATGATCACAAGGAAAAGACATCTGAACATACCACAAATAACCCACATGATGTCATAAACATCCCAATCATCCTAGAAGCTATCGACTTCACTTCTACCCCTCAAAAAATCATCCCCTCGGATTATGAAGAAGAAATTTTGAAGATTATTGTCATTCTAGACGAAGCTTCTAACCCATATTCCACCCTTTCTGACCAAGCCGTTCTAAGAACCAACATCCAACCCCCTTATTTGGATGAAATAATAATGCAATTTGGTACAAAAGTAAGTGCTTACTTGCACTCTATGAGCTATATTTTCACCTTTCGTGTAAATATTGCTAAGAGTGATGCAGCATGGATAATCTTCAGAAGATGGATGATCTCATGCACTCTGGAGTTGAATGATTTATCCTATCTGGATACTTCCAAGAGGTTCCAAGCGGGGCCCTTAGAGGTTATTCAGCCTATTCTAGATAGGTACATGCCTATGTATCTTCCTGCACTTGAACCAGTTCTACTTCTGCCTGCTCTAGAAGAAGAAGCTACTTATGATATAGAAATTGATCCCAAAGCCTCCTCTGCTCAAGATCATTAGATTGGAGAAACTTCTCCTTCTGACCAGTTAGCTCTTACTTTGCTTGAGAATACATATGTTGGTGAAGAATGAACTACTTATGGAGAAGTGAAGATGTTTGCTTCTGGTTCTGGAGAGTTTCCTCCAATGCTTAAGGAAACGTTTAATGAGATCATAAAAGAGAGTGATGTTATCAGACAAAGTCTGGATTTGCAGGATCATAAGTTTAAGGAGCAATCTGACACCAATTCAGTGATCACCAACATGCTGACAAATATCATTTCTAGGTTGCCTCCTAAACTACAACCTTAGACCATTTTATTTTACCTTTATTTTAAGAACTTTGTTTTATTTATTTCGTTTTTTTAATATATATATATATATATATATATATATATATATATATATATATATATATATATATATATATATATATATATATATATATATATATATATATATATATATATATATATATATATATATATATATATATATATATATATATATATATATATATATATATATATATATATATATATATATATATATATATATATATATATATATATATATATATATATATATATATATATATATATATATATATATATATATATATATATATATATATATATATATATATATATATATATATATATCAGTTCTTGGAAATCAATGAAGTTATCTTTTTAAGTTATTTTCTCTTAAATCTTTTTTATTTCTAACAAAGGGTGAGAAAATAATGATTTTTGATATACCTATTTCTCATATACTTATCCCATACAAGTTTTGATAACTTTGCCTCTAACATTGTTTAACCGATCAAGAACTTTCAGAAAGTTCACTAAATTCTTTTCTAAATAGGAAAGTTCAGATTCTCTGAAGAGATATCTTGTTTTTATATCCAGAAGTCTTGGTAATCAAATAATGTTAACTAGAATTTGTTTAAAGGAAATCAAAATAGACTCCAATACACCAACCAGGTTCAATCAAGGTTATGATACTCCATAAAAACAAGGTTCTGATACTTCATCATGTCCTGATAGCAAGTTAGAATCTGAGATAATCAACAAGGAAATTCTATTCAGACTAATGACGAACCAGACATTTTTTCTCAGACTCTGATGGTGTTCCTAACCAGACATTACAATCTAACTCTAATGAGTATTCTAATCAGGAAATTATTCATTTCAAGCTGATTAATGTGTTTTATACTTCAAAATTACTTTAGTCTTGGGCTCAGAGGGAGCCTCTAAACAAGCTGAGATAAGTTTTGAAGGCATAGAACTCAGGGGAGCTATATAGATAAATCTGAATTATTTTATGTGATTAAAACTGTAAAAAAAAATTCATCAAACTACATGGTTTTGTCATCATCAAAAAGGGGGAGATTGTAAGACCAAGAATTGGTTCTGCCAATGGCCTTTAGCTTTGATGATAACAATACATTGTTTCTTAGAGAATATTTTTTTACCGTAATGATTTTGTCTATTGTGTAGCTTTTTCTAACAAGAATTGACTATGATAGAATGGTGTTTGATGTAATTAGCTTCTGGAGTCAACACACTCTGACTCTAGAGAGATACAAGTGTGTGTTACAAAGATCTAGTCAAGTTCTGGAATGCTTCTAAAAACTAGTTCTAAAGAATGTTTGTGTTAAAGCTTCTGACCATGATATAAGAGCTTCTGAAGACTTCTCAAGCTCTAGTGATTCTACACTTTGAAGTTTTGAGGTTCTGAAGACCGAGTTCTAAAAACTCTTAAGACAAGGTTCTGGAGAACAATTTTTGAATACTATGAAGACAAGGTTTTGGAGAACAAGTTCTAAAGACTATGAAGACAAGGTTCTGAAGATTATCTCTCTAGCTTTGATCCTTCTAAACATACTTCATCAACACTATTTCTGAAGCCTCTAAAGATTAGAATATAAGATCAAAATGTTCTATGTGAGTAAATAGTATATGGTATAAGATCAAATATTCCTCCCACTACTCTAATTTTATGGCGCACAGATAATACTATGGTACAATGTTGTCTACCACTCTCATTAACTGTTATGAAAAATACACCTGGAATTTGGAATTCCCATTATACCCTCCAACAAATCTTTCTTTGTCTATATAAAGAAGACTGGGAAGAATGTAAAATAACTTTTCCAACTTCACTGAAATAACTCCTGCAAGACCTCTTGAATGTAAATATTTTTTATGTGAAGAAAAGCTGTAAAGTAAGGAACTTTTGTTTGTTAACTTGCTAAAAATACTTTTGTGTTTCTCTTTGTATTTCAACTTGTGTAATATTATTTCTTAGAAGCATCTTTGTAATTACACCTTTTATATCTCAACATTTGAGTTGATTGTTCCTTGAGAGACAAGGGTATAATTGTCGCATCTAGGATTTCCATTGAAGCGCGAAGGAGGCGGAAAGAAGAGTCTCCATCAATGTTATTTATATCAAGAGAGGCAAAGGAAACACTAAGTAAACCTAAATAAGGGAAAGAACATGGTCTCACGACCAAGAGAAAGGGTAAGAAAGTCAATTACGCAAGGGGAAGGTATTATCACCCCTCATGTCTATGGTACCCCACAGGATCCACTCAAGTTCGTTCTAATTAAAGGGTGTAATCTATAAGTCTAAAACCTAGTGCTAAGGGAATGCATGGGAGTATATAAAAATAAATTTGTTATCAGTTGTGCTTGTTGCTGTTGCGAACCTTTGTGCCTACGTACCACCTTTGGTGCAATAGGGGATCATGACACTCGGAGTTCACCTAAAAAGGTGTTTTGCTTTGTTGTGTGTTTTTTATGAACAGTGCTAGCGAAGCATGTCCTTTTTCAAAAGGTTTTAAAAGAAGATCCAAAAGGCAAAAGAAGTTTGAATTGGTTAGTGTTTTTGTAGGTAAGATGATAAATGGATCCCACTGCTAGGACACTTATCATCCCTCTACTTTGTTAAAATAATGTTTGTGATTTGAATCACACTAGAGACTTATGAATTAAAGAAGGGTCAGTCAGGGTCTGTACCCTCTCATCCTTCTCATTACTAAAGATTCTTGGAGGTGTGAATCTCATCAATTATTTATGAAGTGTTTTGAAGCTTTGAAAGAAGAAGTTAGTGTTTTAAAAATGAATGCAAAAGATAAAGCAAACATTTATCTCAAGGGAAGTGAACAAAGGGGACAAGAAAAAATGCTCAACTTAAACAAGTAAAGGTCAAATAATGAAATCATAATTGAAGACTTATGGAATGTATGACTTGTGGAATAATTTAACTCAAGATGAAGTTTAAGAGTAACCAATGAAGAAGATGAAACTTCATGCATAAACAAAGTCACATAACTTGATAATCAACATCATCCAAAGTGGATGGTACTTGTCTGAAATCAAACAATATTGATGAAGACCAAGTAGAGGCGACATAGAACCTTATATGTCATAGGGTAATGGCTAATCCCTCGTAAGGTATCAATCATGAACTTGAAGCCTCAAGCAATATTATCATTATAACATGCTCAAGTGTTATGACAAACTAGCAAAGTGTAGTCTCTAAATGCACACAAGCACTATGACCTAAATAAATCAAAATTAATGTTCTTAAATGTTATGGGCATCCAAAATCAAGATACACTAATGAGACATAACATAAAAGCTCATGAGGCAATCACTAATTAATTATGCTCAAAACACAAATAAGAAAGAAAATGTAGCTTCTAATATGTCACCATGTTGGTTAGAAAGTAAGTGCTTAAACAAAGGATCATAGAAGCATGGAGAATTTGAGATGATAAGAGAATTTAATATCTAAAATTAAGCACAATATATTGGACCATGGTCCTTTAGAGGATTCAAAAACTATCACACACAAACTAGGTCAAAACAAGAATGTGACTCCTATCTTGTCATCATGATAAATTGACAATAAGGTGTCAATCAAAGAATCAAAGGAGCTATGCATGAAAGTATTTAAGACCTTAGAGGTCAGAATCAAGTTCAAGAGATCTCAATTAATTTGTATCCATGCTATTTCAATTGGAAATGTAAGTTAACAATCTCATAAAACATGATCTCAAATAATGAGCAAGTGAACCTTAACAAAGGGGCAATGTTAGAGAGTTTTAATGGTTCATAGATATGAACTCAAGTCTCTTAACATGCCATGATAATAAGAGGAAGAAGAGGAAACTTCTTTCCTCATAGGTTGCACAAGTGCATACCTCATATCTCAAGCAACAAAGTATCTAGGCAAGAAATATGTTCAAAAGAACAAGGAAAAAGAAGAATTGAACAAATGAAGTCACATTATTCTCAAGTCCTCAAGGAACTATGCTTGAATCTATCATCCCTGAATCATTGATCCACAAACAAAATTTCATAAAGATTAATCACAAGATAAGTACATAATGTGCACAAGAAGGATCAATCAAATATTAACCTTAAAAGGACCTATAATTTGAATCCAATTGATATGGTCCTTAAGCACACATGTACCCATAATGTGACCTGAGGTTAACATCAAAACATGTTCAAGAATGACCAAGTGAAGGCACTATTTGTTAAGACAAACACCAATGGACAAGTTGTCAATTTAAATCAAGCAAAAATATCAAAGTGATGTTAAAATTCAAATAAAATGATCTTCACACATTTACAAGTCAGGAACATTTCTTTAAATCATCTCTACATTGAAGGAAATTGAAAAATTAAATTGAAAGTTGAAAACTAGTCATAAAAATGTCAATTAATGCATGCTTGGAAAACAATTTTCAAACAATAATAAAATAAGCAAGAAAATTTTTGGAAAAACTGTTTTAAGTACCACAACTCGTTCAAGAACATCCACAAATTATTTTGGAATTTTCAGATCATGGGAAGATGAAAAATGAAGATGAAACTTTTAGCATAAGCAAGAAAAGGACCAAAAATAGACATTCTCCTTCAACAATTTTTAAAATCAAACAAAGTATGAAATAAAAATTGTTAAAAAATATCATAATCATCTCTGGACATTAAGAAACATGA